AATACAACCATACCAATAATCACATGAAATATAATATAAGTGATTAAAACACCCAGTTAAAAGGCAAAGATTATAAAATTGGATAAAAAAGCAAGACCCAATGATACGCTGCCTACAAGAAACACAGTTTAAATATAAAGACGTACCTAGGATAAAAGTAAAAGGATGGAAATAATATGCCATGCTAACACTAATCAAAAGAAAGCTGGAATAGTTATATTAAAATCAAAGTAGATTTCCAAGCAAAATATTACTATGGATAAAAGGAGTCATTTTATAATAATAAAGCAGTCAATTCCTAAGAGGGTATGACAATAAAATTAATGCATCTAATGACAGGTATCAAAATACATGAAGCAAAATTTGGTAGAACTGCAAGAAATAGATAAATCCACCATTAATTATATATTTCATGACTACTCTCTCAATAATTCATAGAACAAGTAGATAGAAAATCATTAAGGATGCAAAAGACTTGAACAATGCTGTCAATGAACTTCACCTAATTAACATTGATAGAACTTAACAATAGCAGAATACCGTGCTTTCCAAGTGCACACTGAATATTGACCAAGACAGACATTTTCTCTGGGCCCTAAAACAAGTTTTAGTAACTCTAAACGGATTTGAGTCATATAAAATGTTAAGATGTTCTACTTAATTCCTATAGTAGAATTAAATTGGAAACCAATAAGAGAAAGATATCTGGGAAATCTTCAAATATTTAATAACTAAATAACACACTTCAAATAACCCATGTATCAAAGAAGATATCAAAAGAAACTGGAAAGTATTTTAAACAAAATAAAAATGAAATAAAACAGATCACAATGTGTGAGATTCAGCTAACAGAGTAATTAGAAGAAATTATAGCATTACATGCCTACATTATAAAAGAAGAAAGATCTTACATTAGCATACACAAAAAGTGCGATGAGCACCATCCGAGGGACGGACGCACTTGAAACTCGGACTTGGGGGGTGGAAGAGGGGTAAGGGCAACATACCTAACCTAAACATCTGTACTCCCATAATATCCTGAAATTAAAAAAAAAAAGATCTTACATTAATGACCTCAGTTTCTACCTTCAGAAACCAGAAAAAGATCAGCAAATTAAACTCAAATAAGCAGAAGAAATGAAATAATAAAGAACAGAAATAATAAGAACAGAAATGTATAAAATTTGAAATAGAAAATCAATACAGAAAATCTATGGAAGCAAAAGCTGCGTTTTTGAGAATATCGATAAAATTGATAAACCTCTAGTTAGATCAGTCAGTACAAAAAAAGGTGAGACACAAATATCAGGAATGAGAGCAGGGACATCACTACAAATTCTGCAGATATTAAACGGATAATAAGAAAATATGAACTTTTTGAATAAATGAATTCCTTGAAAGACAAAAATTATCAAAGCTTACTCAAGAAAAAGGAAATAAAATGAATAGCCCTAAATTTATTAAAGAAATTGAATTTGTAGCATAAAACTTTCCCACAAAAGAACTCCAAGCATAGATGGCTCTGCTGGTAAATTCTACAAAACATTTAAGAGAAAAATAAAAGTTCACACAAGCTCTTTCAAACAATCGAAATAGAAAACCAAACATGTAGACTGACTATACCAGGTATTAGTGACAATATGGAGTAACTGGTACTCTCATACAGTGCTGATGGGAATGTAAAGTGGTATAATCATTTTGGAAAACAGTGGGCAATTCCTCTGAAAATGAAATGTACACCTACCATGTAACCCATCTATTCAACTCTTTGGTATTTATCAAAGAGAAATGAAAGTGTATGTCTATACTCAAACTCTTAATGTTCATAGAAGCTTTCAACAGTGCATGGATAAATAAATTGGAATTAATTGATACATGCATACATCAACATGGATAAATCTCAAAATAATTATGCTGAGTAAAGTAAATTAGACAAAAAAGAGTACGATTCCATTTATCTAAAATTGTGGACAATCCAAACTATAGTGACAGTAAGCAGATGAGTGACAGTTTCATAGGTGTATACACATGTAAAATCTATCAAATTGTACAATTTACATATGTGCAGTTTACTATACAATTACATCTGAATATAGCTTTAAAAATAAAATACGATTCTCTAACAACATAAGTTACTTACGATCTCAAGATATTTTAGAATGTTCTTTCCCAAACATCTTAAATGGTATACACTGTACCCTCTACAATAAAAGCTAAACTGCACAGAAAATATCAGCAGTAGTATCTGGGGAAACCAGGGTTTTTACCTGAAGGTTCCTCTTCAGTGACAATGATCTGTCCAGTCCAGGGTGCTGAAGGGCGACCTGAACAAAGGACAAATACAAAAATCATAAACATTCACAAATGCAGTTTCAATTGCACTGATAAATTGACAAGCTGGCCAGATTACTCACAAATGCGTTTGTTACTATGTGACATGTATTTTCCTAATCCATCTTATGAAACATGTA